TTTCATTGTATTCTCCAATTAACAGGTCTGTAATAGCTGTGTATTCTTCAAATGATTCACATATATCATCCTGCTCATCAATGACCTTTCCTAACTAGGGAAAATGTTCATCCAAAATTTCCTTTTGAAGAAGTGATGTTTTGAAAAGAGATAGCTTTTTTTTCCCAAAGTGATTGGATGAATTTTTTTTTGCCACATATCATATGTCGACTTAGTTTTACCTTGCAAAGAAATATTCAAGTTGTTTTGATTTGACATGATATCACATGGAAATGCTGCATTCCTATAGAAATCTTCTTTCAATAATTCACATTGCTGATTCTATTCTTCCTAATATTTAACTATCTTTTCTTGCAGAGGTAAAATTTTGGCTAACACCTGTCCCTGTGATAGCCGACACACTTTAGAATGATATGGCAAATCCACACTGAATAATACCTCATCGCTCAACTTTAGCATGTTATGAAACTGACAATGCCATATTGCATTTGCACAAATATAGTTATAATACTTATAACTTGTTGCAAATTGTCACTTAAAATAGTAGCTTTAGCAACGAGATTTTGCTGATGCAAGATACAATGAAAAGAAATGAGAACATCTGGATCTGTTAATACCTTTTTGAAATCTGTGTAATAAGCCCTTCATGTTTTCCTGTTACGGAAGGTGCACTGTCTGTACACATACTCACTAAATTTACCAAATTCAGTTCAACTTCATGACATTTACCTTGAAAGTGGTTGAAGGTATCTATTCCCCATGTTCTGTTTGCAAGAGTGTCCAAGGTGAGTAACTCTTCATAGCAAAGAAAACCTTCTATTATTATCTGAATGAAGTATAAAACCTGTACTAAGTCAGTAGTATCAGTTGATTCATCCAATGTGATTGAATAATATATTTTTGCTTTTGAAGTATTGCATGAAGTTGTTCTCTTAAGTTGAAGGCTGATTCATGCTGCTGATCAGTTATGGTTCTCTTCGTAAGAGGCAGTTGTTTGTACTTTGAAACATTATCATGGTCTAAGCATCCTACAACTTTGACAATGAATTCTTTCACAATTTCTACATCACTGAATGGCTTCCCTTTTATCCTGAGTATTTAAGCTACTTTATAAGTTGCTCCATTGGTATTACTTCCAGGTCTTATTACTGCTTGAAAGAATTGCCTTTGCTTTTGCTTTTTGTCTTTTAATTTCTGCAATACAATCTTTCACACCTCTCCCTCTAATTTAAAGTATTTGTGGTCCTTATGAGTGTTGTAATGCAGATGATCATTGAATTTCTTTAATGTTGATATTGCAGTATCACAAAGCAAGCAAATCATCTTATCTTTAGCAGAAACAAGATAATATTGCAATTCCCAATCCTCCTTAAAAAATCTGTTTTCTTCTTTCGGCGTTCTCTTGTTCTTCTTTGACATGATTGGGTGTTAAGCAGACAGAATTAAAAAATACTGTCGAGCTGTGCAACTATTCACAAATTCCACTTCAAGCAGCAACACAGTACACTGTTGTCAAAAGCTGGTAACAGACTGGTGTATTAACCCTCATAAACTCTTGCCAACTAATAGTGGTGCCAGTCAGGCAGGGGAAGTTAGAACTAAGTCATGAGCATAGCTGCCTCAATTTAGCCCTTATGGCTCACTAATGTTTTAACTGTGCCAGTCAATCTGGGAGGATTATTGTGTTGAAACTTATTTTTATTCTTCGGTATTTTACATATGTTCATTTTAAAAATAGAACAAAATATAAAAGATAAGCAAAAATGTATTAATAAAAATAAAAGGATTTGTTCTGTAAAATTTGGATTTCATCAACAAGCCACACTTAAGGATCTAGAAAGCCACATGTGGCCTTATGACCGTAGGTTCCCCACCGCACAAGAGCTGATAATGTCATTTAAATTTCAGTTTAAAAACCTAAGAACCAGAGAAGCTGATGATATAAATTCCATTACCACAGCTGGCAAGCTCAAGACCCAAGAAGAGCCCATGTTTCAGTTAAAGTTCAAAGGCAGGAAAATACTGATATTCTAGCTCAAGTAGTCAGGCCACAGGAGTTCCCTCTTATTTACAGGAAATTCAACTTTTTGTCCTATACAGGCCTTCATCTGATTGGATGGAAGCCACCCACATTGGGAAGGGCAATATGCTTTACTCAGTGTACTGATTCAGATGTTAATCTTATCCAAAAGTACCCTCACAGATATACCCCGAAATAACATTTGACCAAATATATGAGTAGCCCTTGGTTCCGTCAAATTGACACATAAAATTACTCCTCACATGTAGTCTCTTATCTCCCACCAGTGTCTCTCACTGTGCTTATACATACCCAATATCTGATCCTCTCCCCACATATAACCCACCAACCAGATTGAAAAAAATTCTAATATATTTGGGCCAGAGTATCAGAGATGACCATAGTGTTCATTGCATGTAAAAGTGATTCACATACGCTATGCTGAGTAAACTAACACTAAGAACAAACTGCTTTACTAAGTAACACTCTTTCTTGAAAGCTATTACTGATAGTAATAACGGTGATAATAATAATACTTTATATTTGTTAGGTTAAGTCATATTCTGAGCAAATTTAATTTAGGGGGCTAATTTTAGAAGCTAAACTATATATAGAAGACTCCATTTCTTTGATTAATCTAACAACCAACAAATCTCTTAATGTATATTGAGGATACAGAGTGACAAAGACTCTCTCCTTGCTGAAATTTTAGTTAGGCTACTCTGAGCCCTTTTCTTGAGTAGGCCTAGACTTTGGTCCCCATTTTTGACAGGTCTGTATAGTCTAGTTTTAGCAAGAATCTTACAAAGTTTGTTTAGAGAGAACCTCCCATTCTTGATATCTGATCCCCCTCAATATCGGACCAATTTCCTTATCCCCCACCTTTGATGTATCAGTCCTTGATCTGCCTTCAGTAAGAATTTTGTCAAGTTGGTTCAGCAAGAATTTCCCACCCTTGATGTTTCCCTTTAGTAGTTCTTACCCTCTCACTCTGCTTATTGGCTACAAATTCCCAGCTTTCTTTGCTGTATTCTGAATTGAGCCTGATCTCTCTTCCCTATTGCAATAGTCTTGATACCTATTACCATAGTCCTGAATAGAGTCTTAATGTTTTAGTAAGTGTCAGAATAATTTTTTCTTTAACAAGAAAATTATGATAAATAAATGGAGTAATACTGTGCAGACAGGCAAGATTATAGGGGTTGATTGTTATCTACAAAGTTGAATAGTTTGCATGCCAAGACATCTGTATATAGGCTTTCCTTTTGTTAATTCTTCTGGTTTCAATAAAAAGCTCTCAAATTTTAGTCTACTTATTTACTCAACACAAAGTCAAATGTACTTTGCATTAAGACGTATTTAAGGATTTTCAAGAGTAATTCTGATCGTTGATTTTTCCTTTGCCTTTTTATTCCTGAATAAGACCCTATTCTCTATTGCTTTATATTTTACAATACTCTTTTCAATGAACATTTAACTGTTTTTTCAAAGCAACCCCACAAGGAGTGTGTTACTGTTTTCATTTAAGTGTGAGGAGATTGAGAACAAAATGCAAGCTCTCTATCCAGTTTCAGGTGGGAATATGGTAGATTTTTTTATATATATGGTAGATTTTTTTTTCCTAAAAACTACTATAATGTCTCTCTGTGTATCAAGCCTTTTAGTAGTTAACTCTTAAATTGACTCTGCTTGACCACGTGACTTTCTTTGGCCAATGAGACAGTAGCAAATGAGTCATAAACAGAATCAAGAAGAGTGCTTGTATATTTGAGCTTGCTCTCTTGCTGTTCTTGGAATTCTGAGACTTCCGTGTGAATAAGCCTGTTAGAGGATCAAAAACATGTGGCTCAATCACTTCCATCACCCATCCCAGAACCAGTCAATACCCAAAAGCAAGGATGATCAGCAGCTTTTCCTAGATGCTTGACACCTGCCAAGATCAGAAGACCCAACTACCTGATATTAGCTCAAATTTCAAACCCACATAATCACGAGTAAATAAATGTTTGCCACTAAGTTTGAGGTAGTTTATATTTTAGCAAAGGCTAACAGATACAAATGAAAAAGTGACTTCAAGGTGGTTGATCTTGGGGAAAAGAGCTTAGCACAGCACAAACTTACTTTGACTGTTGGTAAGAATATGCGGGTGCATGTTCGTTGGATGTGTCCACTGCTATCTGTTGCTGCTGACCACTGGTGTCCTGGGATGAAGGTGCCACTGTCTGGGGAGAGGTATCAGTAACAACACCCTAAGGAGGCAAATAAAAACACAAAAGCCTTACTTGTTTAAGCAAAGGGCCCTCTTCTAGGTGGGCTGTAAATACCCCTCTTCTCTTTGGCTTGAGTAGAGATGTACTCAGCTACATGAAGCCACAATAAGTACTTAAAGGACAACCACAGAGCATATGGATAAGGGGTGAGAAATTCTTCCTAATGTGACACCAAGAAGCCTTGCTGTCAGAAGTCCTTGGAGTAGTCAAGTGGTCAGAAACCATTTTGCCCACACTCGGAACTTTTAAGCCATAGTTGCATACAGCTGCACTAAATAACAATTTATTAATCAAACACCCATTCAGGATTCCTAAAGAATTTGTATGTTCAAATATTTTTCTGGGGTAGTTCACTGTACTATGTCTATATCATTTGGCAAAATAATAGGCTCTGACCTTAGTAAAAGTCTACATCAAAGTTTGGAAATCTTTTAAAAGGATGCTGCTGAGTAGGTTTTCCCTTTAGCAATTTGATTTGTTTTATTTTGTTTTGTTTTCCAGGACATGAACTGGAATTAATTTAGAAGTTTCAGAAAACAAAAAACAACTTGTTCTTAATTTTGGTTTGCTCTTCCTTCACCCTTTCTCTTTCTTGTTTCTCACAAATGCCAGCAAGAATGAATTGCTAGAATTGGCCATGATTGGGGATATATGCTTGGTTCCCAGAGAGGCATAGGTGGCTTTACTTGGCCATTAGTAGGCCCAAGGAGGGCACTGACCTGAATACATTCTCCTGGTTTTACTTATGGTTTTGGATACCTGCAGTGACATCTGGTTTCAAATGTTTCAAATGTTTCAAATGTTCCATTCTCTCTCACCGATTAAAGTTTCCTAAATTTCTTTTGTAGAACCTGGAAAAACTCCCTATTTTAATTCATTATATTTTTTCCTAATGTGCATTTTCTGAACCTCCCACCAGCATTTACTTGGGTAGTTACTAGTGAATGAAGATTCAATGAGTGTTGTTACATAGAAAATGAATTAGTGCTTTTCTTTATAAATACAAATTCAAGCCAGTATATCAGAGTATACTTATATTTTTCTCAGTGAAAGATTGTTTTTAATCCTCAAATTTAACTATAACTAGACTGTTTCCAATAAGCTACACTGTCAAATGTGTCTCATAGTCATGGAAATGCTCAAATTTTGTAGATAAGCATATGCCTTTGGTGTAGACACAGAGATATGCAAATATGTGTCAAAGATTTATACTTAAAGTGCCTAGAATGTCCAGATTCTTAATTTTCTCATGCCATAGGTGCTTTTTGATAGCTCAGTATAGCAAACAACATGTAATTTAATCACATATTCTTGAAATTCTGAAAAGCCAATTAAAATTTATTTAATATGGCATATTTGAGGGGGTTCTATACGCCTGGAACACATAAAAGATTTAAAAATTGAACCTCTTTGGTTTCCTAAGTTACATAACAGCGTCCTGTTAAACTTCTAGGTTTCCCAGATCTTGACATGAGCAAACATTTGTCACACACCAAAACCAAATAACCTACATTCTAAAAGATCCAATTTAGTCTGTAAAGGTCTCCTTCAATCTCTGTAGCTCCAGAGGTGGAGAAAGTCTTGGGGGATCTTTATGTAAAGTGGTGCCAACACACTAGCTGCTTGCCAGTTATTTGAGTAGCAAAGACCTTGATTCCAGAGGGCTCCCAGCTGATGAGAAGGACTGCACAGTGGCCATGACGCACATGAGTATCAGGTGAAGGGAAGAAAGGGCAATAAAAATAACTGCTGGAACCAGGGAGAGGCAGTCACATCTCAGCGCTTCACCGCCATCTCTATAGCTCTGTGCCCTTTCCTTTTCTGTGTAGCTTGATGGCTCTGTCCAGTTAATGATGTGTAGGGGGCATGGATTTAGCCCAGTGGAAAGAGAGAAGGAAAGGGGCAAAACTTCCATGAAAGACAAGATGCCATCATCACTCATCATGTCCACATCAGAGTGACAACAACTTCTTCCTTGTCTATAGGAAGCCACAGACCTGTCATTCACTAGAGCAATGGTTTTTAATTTTTGGTACATACTAGAATCACTTGAGGTCTTTTAAAAGTCCTGATGTCCAGTCCACACTATAGACAAATCCGTGATTAGAATTTTTAAAGAGGCTAAGACTCAGGAATCGATATTTTTTAAAGTTCCCGAAATAATTTCAATGTGCAGAAAAGTTTGAAAACAAGTGCACTAGTCCAGTGTCTCTCAAGTTTTCATGTGCATCTGGATCACTGAGTGATCATCTTAAACTGCAAGTTCAGATCCAGTAGGTCTGGGTGGTATCTGAGAGTCTGCATTTCTAACCAGCTCTCAGGAGATGCTAACGATGCTGGCCCAGGAACGATTCTTTCAGTGACAAGGCACTTCCACTCTCTATGTAAGTATTTGTGGTTAACTTGCGATGGGGTAGTGATTTGGTCTCTGATCTTCTCTCTAAATATGAAAATGACATTCCTTTTATACCTCTGTAGCAGGTTAGCTCATTTCATTTGCCAAACAAAACAGACATGTTTGAGTGCATACTTTCATATACTGAGCTTATAATTTCGAATTTTAGAGCAGCACAAAAAATTAAAAATGAGTATTCCTTGGGTTATTGGGAGACGGTGATATGTGTGACCGAGATTTATTTCCCCTAACCGCTTTCTATTAGACAGGGACAGACTTACTTCAATAGAAACAGCTGTCGGAGGCACAGGCGTGTACTGGGGAATGTAGGTCCCTTGCATAGGAGCAGCAGCAGTCATATACTAGAGGGAATCAAAGAAAAATGCACGTGAACTTTGGGTTGCAGCCAGAGAGGAAATCAAACACCGCACGAGACTGCTTTCGATGTATGGCCCATGGCCAGCACATAATTAGTCAAACTCTATTTTGACCAAAAATAAGGCAGTTCCTATCGGCATTGCATGATCCTTGCTTACTGATTCAGTACCAACAACAGCCCCACCTCTACAGTTTCAGTACAGTTAATTCACCCCTATTCTCTCACTTTGTCCTTTTAAATATTGTGTATAAGATCTCAAACATTTCACATTTCACAACTAAACACAAACTCCTTGAAGGTGAGATGATGTCTGTTTTTGTCTCCATTTTGTTCCTAGTACCCGTCACATAGTAGGCTCTCAATAAGTATTTGTTGAATGAATGAATGAATCATCATATTAATTGTTAATAATAATTTATTTCAAATTTTAAAAAGCAGAGAAATAATGTAAGAAATACTTATGTAGCCCGTTCATTATTGGCAAATGTTGTCATTTTTATATCATTTTATTTAAAATAAAAGAAATAGAGGTTACTGATAATGTTAAAGTCTCTTTTCTTCTCTTCTCCTATTTCATTCTCACATCACTGTTAGTTTTCCAACACCATTGGTCCTCCAAATTTTCCTCATCAGGATGAATAATGAAATAGCCAAATCATTTTTGCTAAGTTGTTGCATTTAACAAAGTACGTATTAGGTATAACATGTATTTTTGCAATGAAAAAAGAGAGCCCCAGTAATGTACGTGCTCACCTACTTAAGCATAAATTATGACCCATCTTCCTAACACACACATTCTCCCTGCAAATTCAAAATTCTACTCTTTGAGGATTGAATTTTCTATGGAATAAACTGTTCCTGAGTTTCTAAACTTGACCAATATCATAAAACTTCAAAACCTGAATAATCTAATGAAAACAAGGCTTCTCAATTCATACAGGTTAGAGGAATGATTTTTATGAAAAAATCAATAGCCTCTGATATTTTATTCTTCCAAATTTGCTGAGATAAATACTAAGTCCATACAAAAATATAGAAAACCTAAATTACTATGTTTAGTGTATCTTAGTGCTTTCAGTATCCAAGAAGCATGGCGATTCTGACTCAAGAGAAATGTCTTAATGGAGACCAGCTCACTGGTGGTGGTGGTTCTTTATAATTATCCATACTCATGGATAATTATAGTAATAAATCAACTTTAGAATAAATGAATCTCCACCCTAAACACTATTCTACTCTATTTATTTGCTAAAAATTGAGAGAGTCTTAATGAAACAACCCTAAATCAAACAAACCAAACTATTGTCTGCAATACATGTGTTGCTACTAATAACATTTGAGTACAATTCATATCTATATAAAAACTACCTTGTAATTTGGACCAACAGCAATTGTTTAAAAGGCCTGGTGATATTCGTAATTTAGCCTTATAGTTCGACATTATCAGAGATTTCTGTACCCTGTCCTCTGTGCTCCTACAACATTCATAACTCTTCTAGTAAAATTGTCCAGACTATTGTCTTTTTAAAGGCCTGGGCCAAGTTTTATTTGTCTTTGCACCTTCTAACATGCAAAGTAGTGCCTGGTACTCAGTAAATAATTGTTCAATGATTGAATGAAAGGATACAAGAAGAAAGCCTTCCATTTCCAATTAAAAAATCTTGCATGTCTCTTGGCCGTTGATAATTCTGAGCTCATTATAGATACTAATTTCACCACCCCTATAATCTATTTGAATAACGTTTATATAAATACCTTAGCCAACTCTGCTCATCATTGTCCTTGTGCTTTTAAGCAGACAATAAATATTCAGATGTTTGACTGCTACCAATTTTTCAAATGAGTACAGAACTCTGGAGTCACATATCACCAAATATTATTTCACAACTAGATCCCTATGGCTGGCAGACATCTGCCATGTCAACAAAACTGTTCTAGAGAGTGTGTTGTGGATAACAGTTCCCTGGCCATGTCAGATAGGTGATTTGTCTCTGTTACACAGGGTCTAAATATCCTTTAATTTATTACAGCATTTCCTACATTGTATTCTTTGGAACAGTAGCTATATCGAGAGAAAAGCTTTCTGTGTTCCAATGCTGCATAATATATCTCTTCTTGATATTGACATGTAGGAAAAAAAGAAAAAAAAAAAAAAAACCTCTGAGAAATCATGTTTTACAGAAGCCTATTTAAAGGTAATTAAACCAGTATTACTAAAACTATTTTTTTGGTAGCATCTATTAGTTTTACTTAAAACTAGTGCTCTAAGGAATATACTTTGGAAAATATTTCTTTAATTGAATCTCAAAAATCTAGCTGATTTGTAGCAAGAGGGAACATATTTTCTACCAACTGTTAATTTTTATGTAAGTACAGAATTGATACAGTTGCAGCCATGCTCCATTCTTTGGTCATGGTTTTCCACAATTCACCATATACCAGTTTACTATGCATTAATACTAATCCCTCACCTATTTGGGTATTTTCTATTCTCGCGTTAGTAATGCTAAACTTTGCAACTGGGCCTAATAAATTAGTATGTTTGCTCTTTGCATAAGATGATGTTACTGGCACTCATCTGCAGGTCTTTTCTCTTATTTGTCTCCACTGTACTGTCTATATCTCTAAGTAGATATTCTGTGAATTAAAGGTCATTAGGGACCTGACCTGTGGCCATATACATATATATATATATATACATATATAGCAATATTCACTAGTTCACATGAAGATCCACTTCATTATTTAGACCTCGCTTGACAAATTAAAAAGTTTCCAGGTAGTATGGTTAACGAGAAGCATTTTATGTGATTTTTGCCTAAGTTTCTTCAAATGACTCTGAGTTATTCAAAATTACATCTGTGTTTTATTTTAGTGAACTGAATAAGTGTAATGTATCTTCACTCCTCCCATGACACTCAATGAAATTGTGAACGTCACCCAAACTGAACTGCTTATGGAGCAACTCGTACCCATCTTTTTGAAACAATACTGTGAATCTGGCAGGATGATTTACCCATTTTACAGATGGAGAAACTGAGACCTAAATACAATGGGAATAAACCTCCAGTTCTTCTGACCTATTATTCAGCACATTTTTCAGTCTACTTCATTATCCTTGGAGGTAAGTAAGTAAGGTCCTAAGACCTTCTTTCTGATCATTACCATCTAATATAGATATTAGCTTACTTTAATGGGCTTTAGTAATTGAATGTTTAAGAAATATAGAATAATATGTCATTGACTGATATTTTTATTGTTATTTATTTTCCATACATATTTTTTAGCTTCATTCTTTACTCAGAACACCTAATTTTCTTCTAGGGGAACTACCTCATATACTTAGTAACTTACTTTTATGCTGCTTTTCTGAACAGATCCAATAGAGATTTTCTGGTATAAATGAGATCAGCTCAGTTCAGTGTGCTATGCGTGTGTGTGTGTGTGTATCTTTTAATTTAAAAAATATTCCTGGTTGCTTTTCTTTTGTCACAGAAACCTTAATAGAGCTTCAGAAAGCTGTTTGATAATTAAGAACAGAATTACTTTAAATAAGTCAATGCTCTACAGTTTCATGCCCCTTAAGATTATTATCTCTGGATAAATTTTTGCAGTGAAGTTCTTCTGTGGTAGACAGATATTTTTAAGAGTGAAGCCTCAAGAAGTGGCAGTCTTGTAAAATTAGGAACAAGTGTTTACAGGAAATGGCTACAGCTATGTGTAGGCTGAACTCTCAGCTTTAGGTAACTGATGACAAATAACTCTGAACTGTCTTTGTAAGCACACAGTTTGATTTTTTTAAGAGCACAAACTACAGTTAGACTTAATAATACAGGCAGAATAAACATTAGTTAGATCTGGGTGCCTCGGAGACTGCTTTCATTTAGCCAGCTAATAAATGGCAGAGGACTAAGAGAATGACCTGTGATACCAATTCTGCTCTTTTGACTGATAAATTCTCATAGGCTACTTATTAATACCACAATAAGAATATATATATATATATATATATATATCCCTCAAGCTAATTTATTTTATTAGCATCTCTCAGAAGCTAGAAAATATCTGTCATAATTTTTGCATGAACACAAATCACTTATTTTGCACTTTTTTGGTACAGGAGCTAATGGGAACTGCATTACAACGAAATTATATAGATAAAATGGGTTCATCCATACAATAGGCAGTTCAAAGGTATAGCATTAATTAATAAATACATATATGTGCTTTTCGGTAAACAGCTTAATGATTTTTACGTATTCTGAAATCACTGGATTTTCACAAGTGAATGCGTAGGAGCACTGAATAGCCATTTTCAAACCCACAGAATAAATTCCAGACTCCATCACTTGTTCCAAGAAGTCTAGACACTGCATCACCAAGATAGTTACATGAAGAAAAAAAAAATGTGAGATTGGAAAGGAATTGTGTTTTTGCCTATTTAAATTGGAACAAACTACTTCTGTTACTGTGGAATCATTGATTATTTCTGAGGAAACAAAGAAAGAAAATCCCAGATTATTAGCTCTGGATTGCTTCTTTCTTCTCTCACCAAATAAAAACAAAATAAAAATGTTTTATGAATTTGCTGTGAGGAAACTTTACATTTTAATTATTTGTAGAGGCAAGGGAGGGGCAAGGAATTTCTCGCATTTCAATTTTGGAATTCTTAAATGAATTGATCAATCTCATTTGAAGTTATCATTATACTGTTTAGATTTTAAACTGGTGCTTCTAGTCCTTGCTATAAAATTTGTAAAACTGATTAACAAATTTCAGAAAGAGGAGTTGGCCAGGCACGGGGGCTCACACTTGTAATCCTAGCACTCTGGGAGACCAAGGCGGAAGGATTACTTGAGGTCAGGAGTTTGAGGTTACTGTGATCTAGGCTGATGGCATGGCACTCTAGCCAGGGCAACAGAGCGAGATTCTGTCTCAAAGAAAAGAAAAAAAACAGAAAGAGGAGATGTTCACATCCTATCA